GAAAATTTCGTGGTTGAAAATGGCCTCAAACAGCATCTACTGTTTTAAATCAGCCCTAATCTCACAAAGACACTTCTTAGATGGAGTCGATCATCTGCGACATGAAATAAAATAATGTTCCGCCCTCTATTCAGACCCCCCTCCTCGCCTCTCCCCACACTGTCTATCGTTTTACACTTGCCCACTTTTTTTTAAGCATTTTTCTAAATAATGCAGTTGGTGGATTTAGCCTCAGACCTGGGGGTGAAGTTAAACTTTAACGCCATTTTACATGAATATATTTACATTTATACATCAAAATGAACAGTTAAAATGTTTGAATTGCTCTTCACAGGGTCATTATGGTTCATTGCTACTTGGATCTTATTTTCATAGGTTGTGCCATTGCTTCCATAGATTATGACAACATAGATTCTCCTCCAAGTAACTGCTGAGATCTGAGAAATCAGGAACGCCACTAAAAAAGTAGTTCGACAGGGAGGATCATACGAGGTTAGCCACATTTAGGTGAGAGCAACTTCTTACCTCAGGTAGTTGTGCAACCCTTAGTTGTAGAATGACAATAAACAAACCTTGTTCTCTGTTTAGAAATGACAAATGTCAGACATAACTATCTGTGACAAACCACAGATAGTTATGTGGTTTGTTTAATCACAATTATGACTTTCCATAATTAAATGAACACGATAGACTGACGTTTAAAGTCTGTGCCATGTAGAAAACTGCATATTTAAATAACGCGCTTTCTAAACTAGCAGCCAACCACCAGGGGGCCATCGAGATGTTTTGTCCGCACTTTAGTGTAGCTGTCATGCCGAGATTTGTTAAGTAGCAGGAATGTAGCACAACGAAGAAGTGAAAGCAGTGCTGTTTATTTGAATGTCAAAGTGCATACAAATATATTATAAAAATATTATAAAATACCCCCGGCATAGTACACAAAACATTAACGTTAGCTAGCCAACGTTGGCTGCAACATTATTTCAAGATATATTAAAAATAATAATCAGTTGGCCGTGAACATCAAAGGAGCATACATTGTGTATGTTTATTCAAACTGTAAAATGTATCTAGCTCAACGTTACCTCGTTAAATCAGCCTTTTTTTCTTGATATCTGGTGAGGTCATCTCATCCTCTCCCCTGGGTGGGCCTCTGGCTGAGGAGGAACTGCTGTACTCGCACTGTTTATTCGGTGATGACTTCGCAAGTCATCCTCAAAGTTGAGAGCGAGCTGACGATCGTTGATTTAAATTCGGTGGAATGGACAGCACTGAGCAGTCTTGCAATTGCAAAAATAAATTGTGAAGTAGCGGGGCAGCAAAGTGTAGAACAGAAACACTGAGACTTGAGTGAGAACTAAACAATGTGTTTATCATAAACCATAAATATGGTGACCAAAGATTTAGAAGAAAAAAGTTTTTAAATTGGCAACCAATGCTGAAGTCGGGGATCTCATCATTCTAAATTATATTGTTGGCACAAATCAACCACTCTGGCTTTGTAGTGCTCCCTATGCGTGTGTTTTTATCAGTAGTTTTGACTCGGTGGTCTGAACCACTCTGTCAAACTGTCATGTAATATCAGCTTGTGGAACTGATTGACATAGCAGAGCAACATTTGTATGTCCGAACACAGTTCACGCTCTTCACTTCTTTACTGCTGTCCATCTCACTCCTGTACTTCCTCCCAATAACTGCCCTATTTCTTGCTTTGTGTCCTTATCCCTTCTTGCCTCACTGTATTCATTTCTGAATGCTGAGCACTCAGAGTTTCCTCTTGCTTCGGTCCTAAACCACACTCCCTACTGCATAGATTTCATGTCTGCATTCTTCTCATGTGAGGTCTTCAGATCAGTCCCTCATGAGTGCTGTTTGACATGATAATCTCTGCACAGAGTTTGTCTACATGGACATGACACATTGTTGCATTGTGAATGTTTCTGGCATCGGATCTCTCCCGTCTCACACGGTTCTGACATGCAGTTCATTGCGACAAGCTCAAGCCAGGAGACGGCCTCCTCCTTTTGGGGAGGTCGGGGCCGGAGCGGGGTCAGGTCCGGGTAGGTGGAGATCTTGGCCGACGTGGAGTGTTTGAGCCGGTTGCCAGGCAAAGAGGAAGGTTTAGATTTACCATTGCGTCTTTCGAGCAGCTTGTCGCAATTAGTGATGTCAGGAGGGAAAGAAACAAATATGAAGCATTTCTTCAAAGGGAAGGAATAGCCTTCCCATGAGTTCATTCTTTCCTCGGGTTTGTCGAGTGAAAGAGGGGGCAAAAGTGCAGCTTGTTCCTCCTCGGGACAAAGTAGGTTTTGCAGGCCAGGGTTCTTCCTGTTTGAGTAAATAGGTTGCAAATGATCAAAACAGTGACACAGCCACCAAAATATAGTTTGTGTCCCGTTAAAATGTGGAACCTTATTTGGATAATCTGGATAACCAGTAATGAAACCAGTTACCGTCCTGATCCGTGCCTCTGCTCTGCAGCAGCCTGTTTCCTCAAAGAAACCACATGACAGCTCTGTTTAACACACTGCCTCCATTACATTTGCCTGCAGTATTTTAGATAATATTTCAAGGAGCTCTAGTTTGTGAGCTCTGGCAGTGTTCTTCACTGCCTCAGACTAGCAGTGCCAAGTTTCCCCACTCTCCTCATGGCTGTAGGTGTCCCATGCAGAGGCCATCTGTCTCTCCTCCCATAATGGTAAGGGTGGAGTCCTATTTAAGCCCCCCCTCCCTCCCTTCTCCCCCCTACTTACTCCCAAATGCTTACAGCAAAACAAACAACATAGCATAGATGGAGTCCTGTTTCTTTGAATGCTTTGCAAGCCCTGAAAGGTGACGCACACGGAGATAGACCAACTATGTGCAGTAGCAGTTGGGAGTGTAGTGTCAGGTAGCTGCAATATGTGGAGCATGTCACGGAGAAGCCGGGTCCGAGACGCGCGTCTGCATGGCATGTTAGTTTACCACTCAGACAACCGGTGCTGCAGGAGGATAGCATTTATAGTCTTGTAACAGTTAACATATGTATTGACAAATATTTATTTCACTGACAGGCTTTTTTTCAAGTTTATTATATTTTGTTCAAGAAAAACTAATACGTTGCTCTAAGGTGACAACAAGCAGCTGTTGTGTCAGCTCAGATGGCTCTGACCCTGATTCTCCCCCACACCACCAGTGCACCCAGAGGAGTCCGGCAGACGCAATGCAAACACAGGGCAACACATGCACTGCTAAGCACATTACAGCAGTGTGGGGCTCTTTCTTTTTTTAGACCAGGCCATGAATCATAGCTGGGTGAAAGATGTAAATGCATCCCGGAATTATCTTAAAGAAATAATCCAAAGTGACTTTCCCAAGTGAATGACCAAAGAAAAGGCATGTTTGGTTAAATGCTTTAGTTTAAAAGGTTAAGAGCCTAAATACAGTGCTCGATAAGATTAGTTTACACAGTGAGGAAAGGAAACCAAGCTAAAATATTTTGAAAATGTGGGTCAGCAGAGAAAGAAAACAAACAGGAAAAGCAAAGTATTATAGCACAGCATGACCCTTCACAACACAATGCACCATACATTTAGGACTCAGCAGCCATTCAAACAAAATGCCAGACTCTTACACACATGGGAAGAGAGAAACTGTGTGTGTGTGTGTGTGTGTGTGTGTGTGTAATCACTGAAATTACAGGGGAGGTAATGGGTCAGCCTCCTTTGGCTATATTCCTCACAAACCAAGATAGCATTGCTGTGGCTTACCGCTCAGATTCATGCCAAAGACTCAAAATACCAGCCAGTGGAGCACTTTTATAAGCTCTACTCCATACACATCCGAGACTACGTACAAAGTGGAAATTTATGGCTCCCAAATATAGCTTACTCGGCGCAACTGTGTCAATACTACTGAGGCGTAGCGTTTGAATATTTTGAATGAAATCTACTTTTTACATTTTATCTCTAAAACTAATATTTTCACCGTGTCTATTGTACTATTTACTCTACAATTCACTGTTGAATTGGTAGAGCCTCTTAAAAATGTCAAAGCGTCCATAATTCTATGAATGAAACATTTGTTTAATTATGCTCACAAAAAAACACTACGCCTTGGGTGGATTTTTTTCCCCATTTGGGGCTGTAGACATAACCTGTAATTTAGGATTTATTTCAGGTTAGGTTTGCAAGATTCTGCATTCATTCCCATTGAGTTGTTTTTTTAGTTTTTTTTGCTACAACCCATCAGCTGTGATACAGTACAGTACAGTACAGCTTGCACGCCTGGAACACAGAAACGCTTCAGTGTTACAATTGTGATTTTTGCTGTGACCTGAACTCAGGCATTTGTTGTCACATGGTCACCTAGTCTTGACTTGCTTTTAGTAATTACAGCATTCAAATATCCATTAATATTCAAAACCAAGTTTACAGGTTGCATTGCTTTACTTTAAAATAACTCTAATTAAAAGAAGAGAAACCTGCGGTGGGCTTCAAGTCAAATTAAGGGCCGTATAAAAAGAGGGCATACAACCATAAAATTGCTTGTTTTGTTTCATCTCCTTCCAGTGATGTTTTTTTTTTCCTATCCGGCTTAAAAGGTGCTCTGATGATTAGCGAGAGGGACAGTCTGAGTGCCCCGCGGTGAAAGTGTGTTGCTTATTAAGAGGGAAAGCCGAGCACTCCGAGTAACCCAGATGAATTCTGATCCCTTTTTCTTACCCCATGAAAAACATATTAGCTGTTAATGGACTATGGGAAGACTCTGATACAGTGTACTGCGACTTGTTGAAGGCCAAGCAAGAATGTCATTTTAATCTGAGACTCCCCGATGACACATCCCAGCTACTTCAAATTTTAATCTTTCCTATAGCCGTCACAGTGGACGGGGAGAAACGTACTGTTCGACAAATGGATTTGGATTCACAGACAATTTTTACAATTTAATTAAAGCTTTGACAGTGACGTGTTGCTGTGGCTTATCTGAATCTCATCTCCATCCTGTCCTCTCTCTCTCAGCAGGTGTGAGCAGCAACCAGGTGCTTGTTCCTGAGAAAGTGAATGCCGTGCTGGGGAAGAACATCACGCTGGGCTGCAGAATAGAGGTGGGCTCCAACCTCACACAGAGCTCCTGGGAGCGGCGTCTACCTTCAGGCACCATTACCTTGGCGGTGTTCAACCCCGAGTTGGGAACCTACATCCCCCCAGACTTCACCAAGCGCATCTCGTTTGTCTCCCCCTCTGTACGGGACGCGACCATCACCATCGAAGGGGCCGGCTTTGCAGATGTCGGGTCCTACACCTGCAAAGTGGTAACATTTCCTCTGGGCAACACACAAGCATCAACCTATGTTAATGTATTAGGTAAAGTATAGCTCTGTCACCTCTTCTCATTGTATCGAGTGCTTCTTAATGCTGGTCTTTAATCTCACTTTTCCTACTTGGACACTGTTGGTTGTGATTAAGCAAAGCTTAGGTGACTACTAAGTGTTTGCCCCGAGGGAACAAACTGCTCCCTAAAGCTACCTAGCTTTGTAATTTACTACCAGCACACAGGCCACGTACATTTAAATCCCCATAGGAATGCTCTGTATCGAAGCTGCTGTGGTGTGGTCCCTTTCATTTCACTCGGTGTCACTTACTGTGAAAAACTGCTGAGTCAGGGTTTAAATGAATTCCTCCTTTAGGTTCTCCACGAGCCCACTTGCATACAAATCAAAAAGTGCAGATATTAATACTTGAATGGAATATAAAGACTCTACTCCTGTAGCCACCGTGTAAACAACGTGCAGGGGGTTCAAAGAGTCTCAGCTTGGTGCAACTAGTTGCATGCAACAACAAGTTAATTGCAGGGTGTGCTCTCATGACATCAACTCTCATCTAACAAAGCTGCATTAAATAAAGTTGAATGTGTCGCAATGCTCTTAACTCTACAATGTGCAGCTACTTGCCTGGAGCCAGTGATGATTGTCGTCTTTACTCTTTGTCACGAATTATGAAATCATACCTCAGGCTGAGTAGTTGGCATCTGTGAAGCTCCCACAGGCGCCGAAGAAGCAGATGACAAACTTGGCAATCCATGGTTTAGAAAATGTGTAATAAAAAATACAATACTTTTGGGTATCTGCACATTTAGTGTCCCCATAAATTTTCTTTTTTTTTTTTTAACGATTTCATCTGTAGTTGCCCAATCAAAAAAAAAAAAAGGTCACTGTATCGTAATAGGAAATGTACAAAACCGCATCAAACACACACGCTGTGTGACTGTAATACATTTTAAATGGAGATTGTCACTCTCAAAGTACTGCATACATACACTATACTGTCTCTGCACTGGTGTCAAGGGCTCCTCTGAGGAGCGTGGACGTTGAACGTTCTCTGCGGTCAGCGTATGTTTCAAGCCCTAAATTTGCGGCTGGATTGCACTCCGGCAGCGCTGAGAGAAGCAGATTGCACTGTAGGCAGTAGTTTCCCGTCTCCCTCCAGAGACCGGAGGAGACTCTGATGACTAATGAATGGTACATTAAGTGCTGCTGTGACAGCCACAGTGTCTGGGACCTCACAGAGTTCAGCTTCACCTAGCAGCTCCTCTCTTAGCAGCTTCTCAGGCATGTTGTATATTTTTGGATCACACGAACATGCTTAGGCCTACACAATTCATGTGTAATTAGGTTGTGATTATGGTGTTATATGTTCTTGGCTATTGGATACATGACATGTGGGCATAGATTGTTTTTCTTAAGGAGAACACGCATCACAATTACAAGACCTAAACTCAGCGGATTGAAGTTCCCAAGGCTTCTTCATCTCTGCCTCGTTTTGGGTTAACTGGTGCATTTTTCACAAGAATGTTTTGAGGTTGCTGCATCCCGGAAAAACAAATTCTGGATAACGCGTCAACGTGTGGACAATATACTGTTGAACCGGAGTTTGTCAACATATTGTTCTAATATACAGAACACTGGTTGTATGGTGTGTATTGTATTTCCTTCAGTTTAAACAACTTAACTCAAAATTTTGATACATTGATACTTTGTGTTTTAGGAGAGAGAGCACTTGATTTCACTTGCATTCCTTTTAAATTAACTAAAGCAATTAAAAGATTATTCGATTAAAAGGCTCAAACGCATGAATAATAGACCGAAGTCACGACACACATTATAATGATTAACAGGTGCAGTGGACATTGACTTATTTTAAAAAGTTACACTCTATACAAACCTTTTCTTCATTCACGAGACACTCGACACACTAAAGCGTCTCATAGAAAAGACCCAAGCTTTTAAGGAACAGCTCAGCAGGAAGTGTGCGACAGCACGCGAGCCAAAAGTCCCCACCAGTAAGCAATAGGAAAGGAGCAGAGGAGGACATTATGACACATGAATGAGTTAGAATGACCCTTTGTTTCAAAGTGCTGATGGGTGAATAGGAAATCGAATAAACTGACTTTCTTAAAATCCAAACATGTATGAGACACACATAAAGCATTTGAGTTTTATCCTCCAACCGTGAGCTGCATTCTTTTTGTCTGAACTTGTCAATAATGCACCTTCCCCTTTTTTGCTGAGTCATAAAATTGAAAAATCCGCCCCACAGAGAGATGAGTAAAGTTTCTGACTCGCCAAAGCAAAAATCTGAAGAGGGTGATTTTTTTCGTGTGGTGAGAAAGGTTTCATTTCTCCTTTTCAGTTTATTTATAAGACGTCCCGTCCTCCAGTTTCTTGGAAGTGTGTGTCATAAAGCTAGTATGCAGCTTATATATTCGTGTTCTGTTACCTATTAGCTAGATTGATCTTACCTGCTTGCCGCGTGCGGCTTCATTTGCACAGTTAATTATGGTTGTTGTAGTTCATTGGCTTTTCTTTCTTACAGCGTCAACTTTTTGCATCACAGCATCCAAAATCTAAAAAGAAAAATGGTGCCTGTTTATCTCAGAAACGCCACACATCATTATACCAAAGTGACCGCTTTAAATTGTACAAATACAGTAAAAATGTCCAGACGTGATGCATGGCCATTGAGCATCTCGTTAACTTCTTCCACGGGTTTCCCACTCTGACATCAGTGTTTGTACGCATATGTGGATCTGTGCGTGCGTAGGCGGGAAAGGGCTAATGCAGCCGGTTTGCTGAAGGGAAATCGTTACCCTTTCCCCCTAAAGCATTTCCACTCATCCCAAGCGGTCCCCTCCCTTTCCTGACAGCAACTCCAAATTAACACGTCTCTCTGATTTAGTTATTCTGAAGCTTCGGCCAGCTCGCCTCTTTAACATAAAGCGGCTACTGTTTATAGACGGAGGCCTGCAAGGAGGGGCACGGAGAAGAGAGTGAAGAATGCGAGGTGGATGACGCCCCTGCAGTGGGTACGGGAGATGCCAGGTTTATTTTTAGAAAAAAGGGGTGCCGGGAGTTATTTGAAATTGTTGTTGGACCTCCTGCCTCGACGGGGAAGAAGTGGGGCGACAGATGTCTTGAAGGGCCTTGTCTTGTGGATTAGGCCGGCGTGTGCCCCCACGTGTCTCTTAAAACTGTCACTATTGCAGTAAGTGGAACAGCTGTTCTTTTAAGAGGGACAGAGATGGAGGAGGCGGTGCACTGGGAGACAAAGAAGAAAAAAAACACAAGTGGGAAATTGTGGTGGTGGTACATGGAAGTGTGATCTTGTGTAACCTCTGTAGCCGGTTGACTTCACTGCCTCTCCCTCAGCAGAACACCTTTTGTCCTTTTTTTCCTCTTTTGTGTTGCTGAACTTTCTCAAGTGTCGGTCAGTTTGTGATTGTTAAAGCTGGGGTAGGCCGTGTATTTTTGGCGTCATTGGGGAAAAAAATTCAAGAGCTCTGAGGGAAAACCGGACTTCTTTCCTGTGACGAGAGAGAGAGTGCATTCCTATTGGCTGTTGTACAAATTGAGATGTGCACGCATGTTCCTTCAGACGGCAAAAGCCTGATTCAATGGCAGAATATCCTGTCGCAAAGGTTAACATTCAAGCATTGGCAACAACTGCCTGCACTGCAAATAAACCCAAAGAGGGAAGACTGACTTGACAATCTACAATATAGGCGAAGCGTTTCAGAGAGAAAATGTTGTTGATACCTTCTGCTAACTGTCGTCATGAGACAGCCACATCCGTGAGCTAGGCAAAGTGGCTAAGCAGCGGACTAAACTATTAACGTTTTCTTTCCATCTCTGAAGCGTTCGTTAATAATGTAGCTCACCAGAGCCTCAAATCACAGCATGGTATCTCAGAGGGCTTTACAGGCCCACAAGTTGTCAAAGAAAGCAGGACGGTGCTTCTTATAGAAATGGCATCAGGGTCACAATCACGACCGGCATGAGGTACAGGTTACTGTATGAAGCGTGCGCATATGCCTGTGCTCGTCTGGTGGGAGGGGCTTAAGAGATGCATTGTCAAAAAACAAACGTCTACCCTAGAGCACCACTTGAATTACAATATCATGAAAGTTTATTGTTGAATTTTTGCTCAATGACGCCAAATACATCCACTTTAACCCGGCTTTAAACAGTGCTCCACGTGTTTTTTAGGCCAGTGCAGCATAATAAACTGTTTAACTGCTTTACGCAGCAGGTGGAGGGTTGCGTTACTCTGGTCACGTCCCTCTTGCATGGATCTGTTTTTCCTCTGTTGGAAAAAAAAATCCTTGTTCGGTCTGAACCTGCAGTTATTCTCAGAAAGCCAGTATAACATTACCCCAGCTCTAAAGCGCTGACAAGTGTACAGTAACCTTCTGTACAACATAGCCAAATACAAACGCATCAGTGTTGGCTGTCAGTAGCCTCTGATTTTGGAATATTACGGTTTTCCCCCCAGAAATCATAGCTCCACTAGAACCTTAGAGTCGGACCACTAGACGACCCATCCTGTAACACACCATATGTTTGGAACACAACAATAAAGACGGCTCAGTCTCCACTGAAATGCCTTCATAAAGATTGAGTAGCATGGTTCATTCATTTTTAATGCATATATGTGAAATGGAAGAAGTCAATCTGCTCTCTCTGGCAGTTAAGTATACTAAGGCCACTCCCATTATTTATTCATATACATACTAAAAAAGATCAATATTCATTATGTAATCTTTCCTCTATTCTGTCATTTCCTCTCCCCCCCCCCCCCCTTTCCTCCTCCTCCTCGCTCTCTTGAACACAGTGGAGCCAAAGGTCTATGTGTCCGCCGGCCCCACGGCTCTGCTGGATGGTGGCAACGAGTCGCTGGTGGCTACCTGCATAGCGGAGCGGGGCCGTCCCACTGCTGAGGTCTTCTGGGAGACGGAGCTGTACGGACGGAGTGAGAAGCAAAGTCGGGACGAGCCCAACGGCACCACCACTGTACAAGTGCACTACATGTGGCAACCGCAGAGCTACGCCCAGGGGAAGGTGCTCACCTGTGTGGTGCGCCACCCGGCCCTGCAAACAGAGTTCCGCATACCATACATACTTAATGTTCAGTGTAAGTGCGCTAATATAACTACGCCTCCTTGATTCCTGCTTTGTCTTTTCTATATTTTTTCTTATTTTCAACAAGTAAATTGATCCAAATGCTTCTTAGTCTCTGTGCCATAGACCTCCATTGTTCAAAAACTATTGACTCACAACACTGTTAACTCCCCGTTTAAAGTTTCTACTGTAATACATTTGGTAAAGTGCAACATTCCCAAATTATTTGTCCATCATTGTCCTGGAATTTGGACAGGAACACATCAGCACTATGTCCTCCTGTTTCAGTAAAGCTTGCTCAACATAATGCAATAACAAAAATCAATCGTATCAGCAGCCTCAACTTCCACCGCAACATGTTCAGAGACACAAATTAATCCGAATTTCAGTCTGAATGGTTTTGTGTCTTCCTCCCGTCACCAGCTCTCACCAGCTGCACCACATTGCTTCTGATCATCTTGCTCGCCACCTTGCATTGGTTCTAATACTAACGCTGCTCAATAATTGTGTAAGATTGTGCCGTTTATTGACATTTTTGCTGTTATCATCAATGATATACATTTTTCCTGAAATCACCGAGATGGATAATCCTAATCAATACAGCCAGCAAAGTAATGATTGTTATAGTTCTAATTGTGCAGCCCTAACGGGCACAGCATATCTTATGGATATTAACCCGTGATAATAGCTTGATTTATGAATGGCCCGATCACTACCTTTCCCTTTTTACCATAAAGGGGCCGTTTAAGAGTCGTTTTAATGTTGTAATCATTGATGCATACTTCCTTCGCGAGCGCTACTAAGGGTTTGTCTGAGCTTGGACCGTGTGAGTGCCGGCTAATGAAGGTATTTTATGAAATATTGATCAGGCCTCAGCAGCAACACAAGTAGCAGGGGGCAGCGGATGGAGACGCAGGAAAACAAAGGTTAATACGCGGAGAAAGAGGCTTTCCAGCTCAATAAATCATGTCAAACGCAGAGGCAAGGGATTTTAAGTGCAAAAGAAGCACAATTTTAACGTTGAGTTGCGTGAAAAGGGTCAGTGGACACGATGAGACGAGGTCCTCTTCCTGCACGCTGTAATGAGTTCCTCATTCGCCCTCCAGAGAAATCAAAATGAAATATTGGATGCCTAAGTCAGTGTTTGCCATGTGTTATTACAGTGGTATGTGCTGGGCTTCATTTAGGCATCCTCCTGCTTTCCTTTGTTTTATTTCTTTGTCACGGTGAGGCAGTAGAGTTTATTATTAGCTGCAGTACAGCTACTGTCTGAGTGAGTCTGTCATTTTCTAACTTTCCACCGACCCCGGAGTCATTTGTTTGTTCTCTTGGCTCTTGTTCACCAGCAGGTCCCGTACCCTGCTCCAGTCCTGCACAGCCTTTGTTTTTGTCGTTGCTCACTACTGTGCTTATAATGCACGCTTTGTTCCTTCTGGAAAAGCTCATCTGTCGCCAGGCTGCTGGGATCCCAATGACTGATTATTTAGTCCTAGTCTTATATCCTTTGAATGAACAATTAAACCCAAATTAATACGTTTTCGTCTGCACGAACAAACTTACTGTTGCACGAGGTATAAGAATAAAAGAAAGGATTGTATGTATTGGTAAATAATGCAAATGCTTTACATCGTAACCTTTTTGTTTTATTTTGTTTTGCAGTTGAACCAGTGGTATCGATTGTGGGAATTGACAAAAATTGGTATGTGGGTCAAGAGAATGTAAAGTTCATCTGTGGAGCCAAAGCCAACCCACCTGCCCATCACTTCACATGGACCAGGTCAGTACCCACCCCCAAAAAATGCTTCCGGTGTGAAAACTTTGTGTGGATTTTAACTTCTCGTCAGAAATACATGGCATACATACCCTGATGGTCCACCTTTCAAGACAGAATAAGTAAAAACAGGCTGACATACATGCTTGCAAATGTGGCAGCCGTCTCCGTCCCAAATTCAGGGGACACAGCTGTTCACACGACGATATCTTTTGCAGTTCACGTTATCGGCAGCTAAAGTTGAATTACATGACATGATGTGAACCATTGGAAAAAAAGTCATTGTAGAATGTAAATAACGGACGCCATTTTTTGTAGTTTGTTGATGGTTCATATAAAATCTCACTCGCACAGTTAACTGTGGTGTAGTGAAACTTGGCTGAGTTTAACACTGGTATTGAGTGACGACGAGTTTTTACATGAATGATCAGCTGCTGATTGGTCCAGTTGGGTAAAACTAAACTCGGTTTAAACAAACTTCAATTAAGCAGCGAAGCAAAGAAAGATTCTGTCTATAAATTACCTCCAGCATGACTTGTGGAGCCCGGGCACTGGAACTGTCAAATGCGCTGCTGCACCGATTGGGAAGACTCCCTGCTATAAATAAAAGATTCCAAATGGTTCATGCATCAGAGCAGCACTCGCCTATTGGCAGCTCTTTGTCATCATCTTGCTTTAAAAAACAAGAAACATGACCGTACCAGTAAAAGTCTACACAGCCAAACTCTTTCTTTTCTTTTTCCTGCCCTGACGTTGAAACCGTGTGTTCATGTAGAAAGCTTTTCCCCCTCGACTGATGGAAGTGCAGTCAGCTCCAATTATCCCAGTCATGTGATCGTAAGATAGTTGCAACAGGCCTATGAATGCTAGAGTCAACACAACCAGCAGAGCAGTGACATCTCTGCGAGTCATAGATGGGTTTTTCAGTTATTCTTTAAAACATGCAGCAATAACAACGTATTTCCCTTTGAGTCTCTGTGTACGATGTACCGCACGCTCTGAGATTTTACTTAATGTTTCATTTCTGCACAGGTTGGATGGATTGATGCCCGAGGGTGTTGAGAAATCAAACAATAGCTTTGCTTTCACTCGCCCGTTGGAGCGCAACGACTCCGGAGTGTACCGCTGTGAAGTGATGAACGACATTGGTCTCCGCAGCCAAGACGTGAACCTCTGGGTACAAGGTGCGTTTTGACTTTCTCTCTCTCCCCA